GGGTCTTGCTCTGCCACCCAGGCTGGAGTGCTATGGTGTCATCACAGTGCTCACTGCAACTAAAGGTCTGGGTGTGTTTGTGTTTCTGCGATTTGCTTTGTATGGTCCCCTCAAGGCCAAGTTTGAGGACTAAAGCTGCATATTATGGAAAATTATGTTGTCTGGCTTATTTCCTACAGAGACAGTGCTCACCTTTTTTGTCTCAACACAGCCTGCTTCTGCTGAGCTAGCAGGTACCTCAATCTCGAGAGGTCAGCCATTCGGCCTCTGGAGAGAAGCTTAAATAAAATTCAAAAAGTTAAATTATTCCCACCTGGCCAGGTGTGGTGGCTCATGCCTGTAATCCCAGCATTTTGGGAGGCTGAGGTGGGTGGATCATGAGGTCAGGAGTTCAAGACCAGATTGGCCAAGATGGTGAAACCCCATCTCTACTAAAAAATACAAAAACTTAGCAAGGCGTGGTAGCATGTGCCTGTAATTCCAGCTAGTCAGGAGGCTGAGGCAGAGAACTACTTAAACCTGGTAGAGAAAGGTTGCAGTCAGCCAAGATCACACCACTGCACTCTAGTCTGAGCAACAGAGTGAGACTCCGTTAATTTTTTTTTTTTTTTTAATATAAAAGACGGGGTTTCACCATGTTGGTCAGGCTGATCTTGAACTCCTGACCTCAGGTGATCCACCCGCCTTGGCCTCCAAAGTGCTTGGATTACAGGCGTGAGCCACCACGCCCAGCTGACTCCATTTCAAAAAAAAAAAAAAAAATTCTCCCCACCTACTCTTCTGTCAGCTGCTATTTATTTATTCCTACCTACCTCTTCCCTATTTTTAAATCTTTTTAAATTGACAAATAATAATTGACCAGCCTGGGCAATATAGTGAGACTCTGTCTCAAAAAAAAAAAAAAAAAATTTAAAGTTAACCGAGGCCGAGTGTGGTGGCTCATGCCTGTAATCCAAGCACTTTGGAGGCCAAGGCGGGCGGATCACCTGAGGTCAGGAGTTCAAGACCAGCCAAACCAACATGGTGAAACCCCGTCTTTATTTAAAAAAAAAAAAAAAAAAATTAGCCAAGCATGGTGACAAGTACCTGTGGTCCCAGACTCGGGAGGATGAGGTGGGAGGACCGATAGAACCTAAGAGGTTAAGGCTGCAGTGAGAGGAGTCTGCACTACTTCACTCCAGCCTGGTGACAGAGCAAGACCCTATCTCAAAAACATATTAATAATAATAATTTGCCCATATTCATGAAGTACATAGTGACATTTTGTTGCTTTTTGTGTTTTTTTTGGAGGTGGGGGGAGGGAAATGGGGTCTTACTCTGTCCAGGCTGGAGTGCAGTGGCCCAATCTCAGCTCACTGCCATTTCCACCTCTGGGGTTTAAATGATTCTCCCACCTCAGCCTCCCAGGTAGCTGCGATTACAGGCACGAGCCACCAAGCCTGGCTAATTTTTGTATTTTTAGTAGAGACATGGTTTCACCATGTTGACCAGGCTGGTCTCACACTCTTGACCTCAGGTGATCTGCCCACCTTGGCCTCCCAAAGTGCTGGGATTACAGGCCTGAGCCACTGCACCCCGCCCATAGTAATGTTTAGATACATATAATGTATAATGTTCAGATTCAGTCCCTCATTCTTTATGCCCCTTACTTCCTGGGGCTCTCAGGAGTGGTTTATCCCCCAAACCCACATCTTTGACCTGGAGACCAGCAAATGCAAGAGCTTCTCCTCCCTGTCACTAATCAACTGGGTGTGGGGGGAAGGAAGGAAGCCAGTCTGAGTTGGGTTACCCAAAACCACACCCTACTGTTCTCTGAAGCAGAGCCCAAGAGGACTTAGCCTCTGCAGTGGGCCTCCCTATAGAACCCTATAGTGGCTCACACCTATACTCCCAGCACTTTGGGAGGCCAAGGTGAGAGGATCACTTGAAGCCAGAAGTTTGAGACCAGCCTGGGCAACAAAGCAAGACATTGTCTTGAATTTAAAAAAAAAAAAAAGGCCAGTCGTGGTGGCTCACGCCTGTAATCCAAACACTTTGGAGGCCAAGACGGGCAGATCACCTGAGGTCGGGAGTTCAAGACCAGCCTGACCAAATGGTGAAACCCCATCTTAAAGAGGCCAGGTGTGATAGCTCACCCCAGTAATCCCAGCATTTAGGGAGGTGGAGGTGAGCGGATTGCTTGAGGCCAGCAGTTCAAGACCAGCCTGGGCAACATGGCAAAACCCCATCTCTACTAAACATACAAAATTTATCCGGGCATGTTGGTGTATATCCCAGCTACTTGGGAGGTTAAGGCAGAAGAATCACTTGAACCCAGGAGGTGGAGATTGCAGTGAGCCGAGATTGTGCCACTACACTCTAGCCTGGGCAACAAAGTGAGACTCTGTCTCAAAACAAACAAGCAAACGAACAAACAAAAGGCCCCCTTTGGCAGCAGTACACATGGGAGTTAACCCACCATGAGCACTTGGCCATCTATTTGCCTTCCTCCTGGATAGCAGACACTGGACAACATCAAGTGCGCAGTCCCTAAAATATATCAAGACTGGGTTCACTTCTTTCTTTCTTTTCTTTCTTTCTCTCTCTCACTCTCTCTTTCTCTCTCTCTTTCTTTTTTTTGAAACAGAGTCTCACTCTGTCGCCCAGGCTGGAGTACAATGGCATAATCTTGGCTCACTGCAATCTCCACCTCCCGGGTTCAAGCAATTCTCCTGCCTCAGGCTCCTGAGTAGCTGGGACTACAGACATGCACCACCATGCCTGGCTAATTTTTGTATTTTTAGTAGAGATGGGCTTCACCATGTTGGCCAGGCTGGTCTCAAACTCCTGACCTCAGGTGATCCACCCGCCTTGGCCTCCCAAAGTGCTGGGATTACAGGCGTAAGCCACCATTGCCCAGCCGGATCAGTGTCTTTTTAGGAGGCCTTCTTGCATCTCTAGTCATCAGGCCAACCCATGCACTGATCAGCCCTGCCACCTGGGGGAGGCTCCAAAGATGGAGCAGCTCCAGGGGGTGCCAAGGTTCAGGCAGGAGGAGGCAAAGATCTCTGAGGACAAAGGGGTTTGGTCACAGTCCCTGAAGCTCTCAGGTGGTAGGGCTCCTGTGAGCAGACACATCCCCTGTGCATCTGTGCTTGTGTGCCTTTGTGGTTGGGGGTCCTTCCTGGAAGAGGCAGCTAGGGTGAGGGCCCCAGGCTGGCAATAGGGTGGGGCCTGTCGTCAAGGAAGGGAACTCAGCCCTGGAGGCTTCTGTGAGAGCTCAAGCCACAGGAGCCACGAGATAAGGGGAGTGTGCATGCAGAACCCAGGTTCCAGGCCTTTCGTCAGGTCCCTTACTACTGACCTGGATGAAGCCGTGGCTTCCACACGGAGGTAGGAGGTATCCTGGTCAGCAGGTCAGCCAGAAGCTTTGGGAGGAAGCTCTAGTTCGGAGCTCCGCTGCCCTAGAAATTACTTCATTTCCTTCCATGCAGATCGTTGTGTGGGTTCCTGCTTTGTTGAGTGAGTGTTCCCTGGCAGTGGCCAGATGCTTGCTCTGCTCTCATCCCAAATGTCTCTCCACTGGGGTCCTGAAGAAATGTGGCAGCTTCTTAGGAAGGAGCTCTTTACTGAGGCTGATGGGGGGGCAGTGGTGGGGGGAGGAGCAGGGGGCAGGGGGTGGGGGAGAAGGGGGACGGGGGCGGAAGGGGGCAGCGGAGTGCTCTTGACAGGTCGCAGTTGTTGGGAGACTCCCCAGGGTATAGGCTTGAGGGCCTAAGTTGCAGGAGTGAGAAGGCCAGGGCCAGGAGGCGCCTACCTAAATCCAGTCCACAGAGTTAACCCCTCATTTCCAGAGCTTATCTTCTCCCCAACACCTACCCACAGCCCAGCACTAGGAAATCCAGAGCCCAGAGCACTATGGTCACAGGAACACATGTGGCCCTCCGTGGCGGGGGACAGGTTGCAGGCAGCTGGGGACATGATGTGGTCCGCAGATCTCCCAGGGCAGGGTGGAGGGCCACTGTTTGAGAGAAGCACCCCAGGCCCTCTGTCTTAGAGAGGAAGTCTAGGGGTAGCACAGGAGCCACCTGCGTCGGCCCCCTGGGGACAGTGGGAGAGGTGGAGGGACCTGAGACAGGCCGCGAGTGGGCGCCCAGGACAGGGGTCCGCCCAGCCTGCGGGAGCGCCCTTAGGGATAACAGCGAGAGGGTCGGGCGCCCTCTGGTGGCTGCGCTGCGCGACGCAGCCGCTCTCCGCACATCCGTCGCGGGGCCCAGTGACTTCTACAGCCTCCTGGTGAGGTCACGCCAATTGGTAACCTGAATCGAGGGTCGGGACTTCATCGTCGCGCTCTGCCCCTCGCCCATCCCTCTCAGGCTCTCTGACCGTCACCCCTGCCCGGCCCTGTGCAACATGCAGCCCGCCGGCCTCGAGGGTCTCTGCACCTTTGGTCGGTGGCCTCTGCTGAGTCCGCTGGTCCTGTTCCTGCTGCTGCTGCTCCAGATTGTAACCTGCGCCCACACCGCGCCGGGCACCCACAGAGCCCTCACTACGCTGGGCACCCCCAGAGCTCACACCACACTAGGCAGCTACGCTCCCTGGACTGCACTGGGTAGTCCCAGCACCCAGGGCCTGCGAGAGCAGGCACGGGCCCTGATGCGGAACTTCCCGCTGGTGGACGGGTGCGTAATTGCTGCATGGGGGCGATGGGGGCTGAGTGCACTCCTGGGCAGGGGAGGATCCCAGAGTATGCAGGGCTGTGGAGGAGTCTCCCTCACACCACACCCCTGGATGCCCTCTCTTCTGTCATGCATGGGTACCCTTTCCCCTCTGTCACCCCCTCTCTGGTGGGCACCCCTATCCCAGACCTCAGGGGGTCTCAATATAGCCGTGTGACACTGTGGAGTGGGGGATCCCCAGATGTGTCCTGCTTGAACTGGAGGCCTAAGAGGCTCCTCTGTCTGTCCTCCACCTGACCCTGCCTCGACATCCCTCCAGCCACAACGACCTGCCCCTGATCCTGAGGCAGGTTTACCAGAAAGGCCTCCAGGATATTAACCTGCGCAATTTCAGCTACGGCCAGACCAGCCTGGACAGGCTCAGAGATGGCCTCGTGGGTGCCCAGGTACTACAGGGACACATGAGGTGCCACAGCATGGCTGCTGGGGGATGTTGGGGAGAGTGAGGACCCGAGAGATCACAAGTTAGTCACATGAGAACTCAGTTACCATAGTGAACCAAAAAGTGTCATGATATGGATGCTGGGGGGTGCAGGGGCCACAGCAAGCCAGCTTGGCGGACAGGAAGACCCCGTGGAAGAAGCAGTACATTACCTGTGGCCTTCTGGCCCACTGGGTGCTGTGTCAGCTGTGGAGGCTGTGAACAGTCCAGGGTACTCCAAAGCAGCCCCTTCCCAAGCCAAACCCTGGCCTTCTCCCCAGTTCTGGTCGGCCTACGTGCCATGCCAGACGCAGGACCGGGATGCCCTGCGCCTCACCCTGGAGCAGATTGACCTCATTCACCGCATGTGTGCCTCCTATTCTGAGCTGGAGCTTGTGACCTCAGCTGAAGGTAGGTGCGTTGATGGGAATTATTAGGAACTTGATTGAACTACTCCAGCCCCTAAAAGTAATCACCTGACCTATTTGTCCCCAGCTCTGAACAACACCCAGAAATTGGCCTGCCTCATCGGTGTGGAGGGCGGCCACTCACTGGACAATAGCCTCTCCATCTTACGTACCTTCTACATGCTGGGAGTGCGCTACCTGACGCTCACCCACACCTGCAACACACCCTGGTGAGCCTAGTGCAGACGGTGTGGGACCACTGAGGCAGGGGCAGGGATCTGCCTGAGGTCACTGTGGACCCAGAGCAAGCTTTACTGCTGGGATCTGGTAGTGACTCTGGAGTGGGGAGGGGAGCTGGGATTCTGGAGTTTTCAGAATAAGACTGAACTCCTGGCCAGATGTGGTGGTTCACGCCTGTAATCCCAACACTTTGGGAGGCTGAGGCAGACAGATCACCTAAGGCCAGGAGTTCGAGACCAGCCTGGCCAAGATGGTGAAACCCCATCTTGATGAAAAATATAAAATTAGCCAGGCATAGTGGTACGTGCCTGTTATCCCAGATACTTGGGAAGCTGAGGCACAAGAATCTCTTAAACCCAGGAGGTACAAGTTGCAGTGAGCCGAGATCACATCACTGCACTCCAGCCTGGGTGACAAAGCGGGACTCCATCTAAAAAAAAAGACTAGCCCCCCACAGGGCCCTCCTGCTACCAGGCATGGCCCATTTGCACAGCCCATGTTGGATCCCTGCTTTTGTTCCCAGGGGTCGCAGGGATAGAGGGTGTGTAGGGCTTCTATGCTCTTGTAGCCAAGGAACAGCTACCAGTCAGGATGCTTTCTGGCCACCCTGCAGGGCAGAGAGCTCAGCTAAGGGTGTCCACTCCTTCTACAACAACGTCAGCGGACTGACTGCCTTTGGTGAGGTGAGGACCCTGGTTCACACCCCACCCCACACAAATGTGCACACCCCAGCTGTTTCTTACAGATAAATATGCACATGTGCACCCCTGATACCCTTCTCCCAATGTGTCCCCACAGAAAGTGGTGGCAGAAATGAACCGCCTGGGCATGATGGTAGACTTGTCCCATGTCTCAGACGCTGTGGCACGGCGGGCCCTGGAAGTGTCACAGGCACCTGTGATCTTTTCCCACTCGGCTGCCCAGGGTGTGTGCAACAGTGCTCGGAATGTTCCTGATGACATCCTGCAGCTTCTGGTGAGAAAACTGCCCAGCCCAGAAACCTAAAGCAAGAGGTTCAAGCCAGGAGCCCTTTGGCAGGGTACAGTGGCTCACGCCTATAATTCCAGCACCTTGGGAGGCCGAGGTAGGCGGATCACTTGAGGTCAGGAGTTGGAGACCAGCCTGGCCAACATGGGGAAACCCTGTCTCGACTAAAAATGCAAAAATTAGCCTGGCATGGTGGTGGGCGCCTGTAATCCCAGCTACTCAGGAGGCTGAGACAGGAGAATTGCTGGAACCCAGGAAGCAGAGAGGTTGCAGTGAGCCAAGATTGCCCCATAGCACTCCAGCCTCAGCGACAGAGTGAGACCCTGCCAACAAAAACAAAAACGAAAACAAACAAAAAAAATGAGCCCTTGAACCTGAGGCCCTGCTCCCTCTACCTCCTCAAACTTCAAGCTGAAACCTTTTGCCCCACAACCCCACAGTCCACATCCAGGAGTGGGGGGTTCCACATGGTTAATACGTATATTCCTCTACTCCTCAAAGCAAGTGCCAAGACACCTGTACTAGACCAGGGCCTAGACTCCTCCATTCACACAAACCCAGAGAGGTGAAGATTCCTCTGACTCCTGAAGCCAGGGCTCAACACCACCTCCAGGGATCCAGAGGGTGGCAGGGCAGGTATGCAGTTTGCTTAGGGGCCAGGCTAAGTGTCCACTTGCCTGCCCCTACAGAAGAAGAACGGTGGCATTGTGATGGTGTCCTTGTCCATGGGAGTGATACAGTGCAACCCATCAGCCAATGTGTCCACGGTGGCAGGTAAGCCCCCCTCCCGGGCTCTCTGAGCAGTTCTGATTTGCACCTGAAGACTTGGGAGGGCCTCATGACTGTCCCAGTGGTTTCACTGAAAAAATGCAATGATGGACAGGACACAGCACCTTGGTCACATGGAGCTGCAGCCACAGAGTCAAAGCTGCAGTCTTTTTTTTTTTTTTTTTTTTAAGATGGGGTTTCACCATGATGGCCAGGCTGAGGCTGGTCTTGAAGTCCTGACCTCAGGTGATCCACCCACCTCAGCCTCCCAAAGTGCTAGGATTACAGGCGTGAGCCACCGCGCCCTGCCCAAAGCTGCAGTCCTGATGGGCATAAGGGAAGAGCCAGACATAGAACCTGAGTGCTAAGTATCTGCACCTCTGCAGGGAGTCACCAGAGCACCCTGCCCCAGCTTCTGGCTAAGAGACTGGAAGGCCTCTTAGGTCTCTGGGGTCTTTGTCAGTTATACTCTTTTCCCTCTGTCATCTCCCATAGAAAGGAGCCCCTACCAGGTTCTCAAGGAGACTAGAGGCAGGTTGAATCCTAGGTGGGAAATGGCCCAGACAGGTGGCTCTGGGGATCCACCCCAAACCTGAAATCCAGGCCAGAATCCATTCAGGTCAAATCTCAGGGTTCTCAGGTTGCCAAGCTAGGTCCCAGGCAATGAAGGAATTAGCCTGCCTGGCCTACAGGCTGCAAGAAGGAGACTCAGCGTAGTCCAGCCACAGTAGCACACCTGTTCTGGAAGCCCTACGCAGCCAACTCTCCACCTGCCCTCTCTCCAGATCACTTCGACCACATCAAGGCAGTCATCGGATCCAAGTTCATCGGGATTGGCGGAGATTATGATGGGGCTGGCAAGTGAGTGCTTCCCTGTGGCTTTTCTGAAGCTAGCTGCATAGCAGTGGTGACTTCACGGTCACCATAGCCACCATGTCTTTTAGGCCTTGACCACCTGGCGTCTCCCCACTCCCAGGATCAGTTCCCTGGGCTCTCCTATTTGTCTTCATCCCAGTGACCCCACTCTAGGACATTATATTTGGCGAAACCACCAAACGGAGCTCATCTGCCCAGCACTGCATGTACCCTCAGTCCCAGGAGACCCACTCCCTCTGAAGCAGACTGTCAGCACGGTTTGGTGTGCGCTGACCATCTTCTCCACCCTGTGCACAGTGGCTGTGTTTGCACGCACTGTTTTCTGAAGAAGCTCTTCCTCCTCCTTCTCCTCCTCCTCCTCCTCCATCTCTTCCTCCTCCTTCTTTCTTCTTCTCCTTCTCCTTCTTCTTTCTTTGTTCTTCTCCTTCTTGTTCTTCTCCTTTTCTTCTTCTTCTCAGGGTCTCGCTCTGTTGGCTGGCCTGGGATGCAGTGGTGCAATCTTGGCTCACTGCACCCTTGACTTTCCAGGCTCAAGCAATCCTGCCATCTCAGCCTCCCAAGTAGCTGGGGCTATAGGCAAGTGACACCATGCCCGGCTAATTTTATTTTTTGTAGAGATGGGGTCTCACTATGTTGCCCAGGCTGGTCTTGAACTCCTGGACTCAAGTGATCCTCCTGCCTTGGCCTCCTAAAGTGCTGAGATTGCAGGCCTGAGCCATCTCATTGGACCTTTTCTTCTTCTTCTTTTTTGAGACAGAGTCTCACTCTGTTGCCCAGCCTGGAGTGCAGTGGTGCAATCTCAGCTCACTGCAACCTCTGCTTCCTGGGTTCAAGAGAATCTCCTGCCTCAGCTTCCCAAGTAGTTGGGATTACAGTTGTGTACCACGACACCCTGCTAATGTTGTTTTTTTTTTGTTTTTTTTTTTAAGATGGGGTTTGTTTCACCATGTTGGCCAGGCTGGTCTTGAACTCCTGACCTCAAGTGATCCACCCACCTCAGCCTCCCAAAGTGCTAGGATTACAGGTGTGAGCCACCACACCTGGCCATTTTCTTCTTTTTTTTTTTTTTTTTTTTTTTGAGACAGAGTTTCGCTCTTGTTACCCAGGCTGGAGTGCAATGGCGCGACCTCGGCTCACCGCAACCTCCGCCTCCTGGGTTCAGGCAATTCTCCTGCCTCAGCCTCCCGAGTAGCTGGGATTACAGGCACGCATCACCATGCCCAGCTAATTTTTTGTATTTTTAGTAGAGACGGGGTTTCACCATGTTGCCCAGGATGGTCTCGATCTCTTGACCTTGTGATCCACCCGCCTCCCAAAGTGCTGGGATTACAGGCGTGAGCCACCGCGCCCGGCCATTTTCTTCTTTTTAACTCAGGTTGGTGGGGTGGGGGAGATCATTTGCCTTCAGTGAAAGGCATAGATCTTAATAGTATGATTCAATGAGTTTTGATAAATATTCAAGGAGGTTTTGAGGCCTCCTTCTGAAGGGTGAAGAGCAGGGGAGGATCACCTTCACTTTCCATCCCTGATCAGGGCTGGGGTTTCATGGACCCTGGGCTGTGGTTCTGAGTCAGGATCAGGGAATCAGGTCTGAAACCCACACTGGCTGGTGGCCACACAGATTCCCTGAGGGGCTGGAGGACGTGTCCACATACCCTATCCTGATAGAGGAGTTGCTGAGTCGTGGCTGGAGTGAGGAAGAGCTTCAGGGTGTCCTTCGAGGAAACCTGCTGCGGGTCTTCAGACAAGTGGAACAGGTATGCGAGGCTGGGCAAGAGAGTAGCCCACAGGTCCGAGCAGGTGTGTTGAGGAGAGCTGTGGAAGCTGAGCACCAACTGTCACCTCTAGGTACGGGAAGAAAACAAAGGGCGAAGCCCCTTGGAGGATATGTTCCCAGATGAGCAGCTGAGCAGTTCCTGCCACTCCGACCTCTCACGTCTGCGTCAGAGACAGCATCTGACTTCAGACCAGAAACTCACTGACATTCCTATACACTGGACACCCAAGTTACCACCCAAGTGGTCACTCTCAGAGTCCTCCCCACACATGGCCCCAGTCCTCACAGTTGTGGCCACCTTCCCAGTCCTTATTCTGTGGCTCTGATGACCCAGTTAGTCCTGCCAGATGTCACTGTAGCAAGCCACAGACACCCCACAAAGTTTCCCTGTTGTGCAGGTACAAACATTTCCTGAAAATAAATGTTTTGGACACGGAACCAGACATGAGTTTCCTTCTCTGCATTAGGGTCTGGTGGCACAGTCTCCCAATGCCGGTGGTGGGGAGGACCCTGCATTTCAGCCACCAGTTGTTCAAGGAAGGACTGTTGGCAGGAGCCCGAGGTGACTCAAGTGGTTAAGCTCAGCACTGGACGAAAACAGTCGTGGATCTGGTGGCAGGAGGGTGGACCCTATTCCATATTCCCTCTGAGTAGCTCATCTTTTATTTTATTTTATTTTATTATTTTGCTGTTGTTGTTGAGATGGAGTCTTGTTCTGTCGCCCAGGCTGGAGTGTAGTGGCGCAATCTCGGCTCACTGCAACCTCCACCTCCCAGGTTCAAGCAATTCTCCTGCCTCAGCCTCCCAAGCAGCTGGGACTACAGGCACCCGCCACCACACCCAGCTAATTTTTTGTATTTTTTTTAGTAGAGATGGGGTTTCACCATATTAGTCTCAAACTCCTGACCTTGTAACCCACCCGCCTTGCCCTCCCAAAGGGCTGGGATTATAGGCGTGAGCCACTGCACCCGGCCTCTTTTCTTTATTTTTAATTATTATTATTATTATTTTTTGAGACAGAGTCTCACTTTGTCATCCAGGCTGGAGTACAGTGGCACAAGCATAGCTCACTGCAGCTTTTAACTCCTGGGCTCAAGTGATCCTCCTGCTTCAGCCTCTAAAGTAGCTGGGACTGTAAGCGTGCACCACCACACTCAGCTAATTTATTTATTTTATTTTTATTTTTACTTTCTGGCTTTTTTTCTTTTTTTTTTTTTTTAGACAGTCTTGCTCTGTTGCCCAGGCTGGAGTGCAATGGTGCGATATCAGCTCACTGTAACCTCCGCCTCCCAGGTTCAAGCGAGTCTCCTGCCTCAGCTTCCTGAGTGGCTGGGACTACAGGCACATGCCACCAGGCCCAGGTAATTTTTGTATTTTTAGTAGAGACAGGCTTTCACCATATTGGCCAGGCTGGTGTCGAACTCCTGACTTTGTGATCCACCCACCTCGGCCTCCCAAAGTGCGGGGATTACAGGCATGAGCCAACAGACCCAGCCAGCTTTCTTTGCTCCATGACTTCACTGAGAAGGAGGATTTTTTATTTTTTGTAGAGATGGGAGTGTGTGGGTGGGTGGGTGGTGGGGGGGAGGTCTCCCTAAGTTGCCCAGGCTGGTCTCGAACTCCTGGACTCAAGTAATCCTCCCACCTTGACCTCCCAAAGTGCTGGGATTATAGGAGTGAGCCACGGGGCCCAGCTGGAGTAGGGTAACTTTGATTTACCTAGCCAGTCATAGGCACCATTTTAAACTGTGCTTTTGTATTATTTTGATAACATTTAAAAAATTAATAGTAACATCATGCCCTCTCCTTTCACCTGTCTGATGTAGGAAACAGGGAGTCCTCTGAACCTCTTCTGATTCTGGGGGCTGTCCATTAAAATTATATACATATATATATTGTTTGTCCTGAGACAGGGTCTTAGGACCCTCATGGCTCACTGCAGCCCCAGCCTCCTGGGCTCAAGTGATCCTCCTACCTCTGCCTCCTGAGTAGCTGGGACTACAGGCCCGCAGCACTATGCCCAGCTAATTTTTGTATTTTTTGTAGAGATGAGGTTAAACCATGTCGTCTGGACTGGTCTCAAATTCCCAGACTCAAGTGATTCACCCCCCTCGCCCTCCCAAAGTGCTAGAATTACAGAGGTGGACCACTGTGCCCAGCCTAAACAATTTAAAATAATTATAATAATAACACAGGAAACAGCTGTATGTGCAATGCTTCTGCACTTTTCTTAAACTATTGGCAAAGCTACCATTCTTTATGTTGTTCCAAGTCACTTAAATAAAGACCTTCAGGGCAGGCCAGCTGAGGCTTATGAGAGACCAAAATAAACATGACCTTTCTCTGCGTTTCCTGAGAGAACCAAAGCTAGAAGCAGCTGGGTCACACTTGGTCACTAACCCCCAGGCATGAGAAGGGGCAGACAGCAATGAACAAGAGGCAGTGGTCACAGAGGCCAAGGCCCTTCTTGAGGTGCCCAGAAGGGGATGCACGCTTATCAGGGAGCTCAGGTGTGAGAAGACACAGAAACAGATGCAGAGGGAGGATAATTTAGATTCAATTTCTGTCATTAACCTTTCTCAGCAGCACCTGGTTCAGGCCCAAGAGGTTCAGATGCTAACCAGATTCAGGTTTTGCGTGTTGCTTTCTTTTTTTTTTTTTTTTTTTTTTGAGACAGGGTCTCACTTCCATTACCAGGCTGGAATGCAGTGGCAAAATCTCAGCTTACTGCAGCCTCAACTTCCTGGCCTCAAGTGATTTTCCCACTTCAGCCTCTGGAGTCAGCCTCTGGGACCTCAGGTGCGTACCACCATGCCTGGCTAATATTTGGTATTTTTAGTAAAGACAAGGTTTCACCATGTTGCCCAGGCTGGCCTCAAACTCCTGGACTCAAGCAATTTGCCTGCCTTGGCTTTTCAAAGTGCTGGGATTACAGACATGAGCCACTGCACTGGCTCAGATGCAGTTGTGTTATTTTGGTTGTTGTTTTTGTTTTTGAGACGGAGTCTCGCTCTGTTGCCAAGGCTGGAGTGCGGTGGTTCGATCTTGGCTCACTGCAGTCTTCACCTCCCAGGTTCAAGCAATTGTCCTGCCTCAGCCTCTTGAGTAGCTGGGATTACAGGCATGTGCCACCGTGCCCGGCTAATGTTTGTATTTGTAGTAGAGACAGGGTTTCACTGTGTTGGCCAGGCTGGTCTCAAACTCCTAAACTCAAGCAATCTGCCCAGCTTGGCCTCCCCAAGTACAGTGCTGGGATTATAGGTATGAGCCACTGCACCTAGCCCCAGATGCAGTTTTGAGATCCATTTCCCCTGTATCAGGACTTTTTCAGCAGGAAATGATGAGGGGGTTGCTGGAAGCTGCCTTGTCTTGAAGGAGGATTTCTGCCCCAGGTGAAATAATGTGTCAGACCAAACCCCCTCATGCTCTCAGGACCAAGAGCCCTAGTCTGACCTTGTCCCACCACTTCATGCCTTGGAGGATCCACCTGTGCCTCCTCCACAACAGTTGTTGTAATGCCCAAACTAGACCTCTGCTGGGCTATCAGCCAACCGTGGATCCCCTCTCCACTTCTCCTGCCTGATCCAGACCCCTTCCTTTCAAGCAAGGTTCAGCTGCTGCTCTTGTGCCTCCACCAACCCCCATGACCCTGATTAACCCTCACCAGCACTACCCATGACTTCCCTTAGCCAGTTATCACCGTAATACAGAAAGAAATGAGACGGATGCAAAGTGATCAAGGTGTAGGTAGCTGTCTTCCCAAGAGGGCCACTATTAACAAACATTTGATGTGTAGACTCTTCTAGGGTTTTTTTTGTGTGTATATATTAACATATGCATGGAAAAAGTATTCAATACTAAATGCTAAAATAGGGCCAGATGCAGTGGCCCACATCTGCAATTGAAACACTTTGGGAGGCCAAGGCAGGAGGATCAGTTGAGGCCAGAAGCTCAAAACCAGCTGGACAACATAGCAAGACCCCATCTCTAAAAAAGAAATAAGGCCGGATACGGTGGCTCATGCCTGTAATCCTAGCACTTTGGGAGGCTGAGACGGGCAGATTGCTTGAGCTTGGGAGTTCAAGACCAGCCTGGGCAACACAGCAAATCCCTGTCTTTAAAAAAATGCAAAAACACAGACCAAAAAAAAATGCAAAAACACAAAAATTAGCTGGGCATAGTGGTGCACACCTCTAGTCGCTCCCAGCTACTTAGGGAGCTGAGGCAGGAGGATCATTTTTACCTGGGAGGTCAAGGCTACAGTGAGCCGAGATGATGCCACTGCACTTTAGTTTGGTTGACAAAGTGAGACCCTGACTCAAAAAAATTTTTTAATATAAAAACTGACAATTAGCTAGGCATAGTGTCAATGCACCTATAGTCTCAGCTGCTTGGGAGGTAGAGGAAGGAGGATCACTTGAGCTCAGAAGTTCAAGGCTGCAGTGAGCTATGATCACACCACTGCAACTCCAGCCTGGGCAACAGAGATTCCATCTCTTAGAAGGGGAAAAAAGCTAAAAAAATGAAATAAATTTCATTTTTGGGGCCAGGCACAGTGGTTCACGCCTGTAATCCCAGCACTTTGGGAGGCTAAGGCAGGCGGATCACCTGAGGTCAGGAGTTCAAGACCAGCCTGGCCTACTTGGCAAAACTCTGTCTCTACTAAAAATACAAAAATAGGCCGGGTGCGGTGGCTTACGCCTGTAATCCCAGCACTGTGGGAGGCCGAAGTGGGCAGATCACAAGGTCAAGAGATCGAGACCATCCTGGCCAACATGGTGAAACCCCATCTCTACTAAAAATACAAAAAAATTATCTGGGTGTGCGCCTGTAGTCCCAACTACTCGGGACACTGAGGCAGGAGAATTGCTTGGACCCAGGAGGTGGAGGTTGCAGTGAGCCGAGGTCGTGCCACTGCACTCCAGGCTGGTACCTGGTGACAGAGTGAGACTCTGTCAAAAAAAAAAATAATAATAAATAAGCCGGGTGTAGTGGCAGGCACCTGTAATCCCAGCTACTTGGGAGGCTGAGGCAGAAGAATGGCTTGAATCTGGGAGGCAGAGGTTGCAGTTAGCCAAATCTTCGCCATTGCACTCCAGCCTGGGCAACAAGAGAGAAACTCTGTCCCCAAAAATAAAACAAAAAAAAAATAAAAAATAGAACCTATACGGAATCCTTTTCTGTCAGTCAAAACATACAGATGGAATTAACTCTTGTGAGTCACAGCTTAGAATATTTAACCTGTCTGGCCAGGGGCGGAAGCCCACGCCTGTAATCCCAGCACTTTGGGAGACCGAGGCAGGCGGAACACCTGAGGTTGGGAGTTCCAGACCAGCCTGACCAACATGGAGAAACCCTATCTCTACTAAAAATACAAAATTAGCCAGGTGGTGGCGCATGCCTGTAATCTCAGCTATTCGGGAGGCTGAGGCAGGAGAATAAC